TTCGATTTTTTCTTACGTTAAATTATGATAGTTAAACATAAAAATTAAATGAGTATGGGGAATTGTAGAGATTTTAGTATTTTCACAGTTGAAATCACGAGTCGATCTAAGCTAGACCACCATCAAAAACCTGGAAGCACTGGATGGTTGTTTCGTCCTAGTATGGGACTCCAGTAGCGCATATCCACTATCTTGTACACAGGACTTGAACTCACGACCTTCACTCTCAAGGTTAAGAGTTCGTGCACGAGTCTGAGCTCTGTGTGCAAGATCGTGGTTGCTCACCGCTAGAGTCCCATACTAGGACGAATCAACCATCCAGTGCTTCCAAGTTTTCAATAATCGTCTAGCTAAGATCAACTTGTGATTTCAACTATGAACATAAAAATTAAAGTATTCATTATCACATTTATTATATTTCAGATAACATTAAGTTGTATAGATACCAAACTGTATTACATGATAGCACGAAAAATTTACTACATCATAATTTCTATCTCTTATCATCAAATTCCATAACTATTTTGGTTAAAACATCAGTCTACGAAAAACTATTTCGTATATCATATGATTTTTAAAGTATGCTCTAAAATCTATTGTCATTTGTACCTAGATTACTCTATTAACTTACTTTCGTGATCTGATTGGTTAGATGAAGTTAGAATTAAGCTGAAATTCAATCAATATATATGTGTGTTTAGGTAACTGATTGGTTTATGAAATATCGATTTATGGAAAATGTAATGTACTTTGGATTTTTCTATAACACAAGTTTTATCGTACGACACGGTTAATTTTAAATCAAAGTTTTTTCATCTGGTCACGTAAACCTGATTTTTTTAAACTACTAACTATAGTGGTATTAGTAGATTAGATCACAGAATTGAAGCATACAAAATAATAATTAAGAATCAAAGAGACAGAATTGCAGTTATATTACTTTGAATATTGTAATACATCCAAAAAAAGAACGTATGCTTTAACACTGATCACTGCAGAATATTATCCTCAATCCGAAAATCAAATTTATGCAAATAAAACGACAATAGATTACAATAAGACAGAAACCTCTTTTGGAGGTTTTCGGATTCATTACTAGAGTGTATATATTTGGCTTCTAGGTAATTAACACTAAGTTCATAATTAAGATTCAAGTTGATCAAAATATAGACAAGAATGTTAATAGCTAAATATCCAACAAAATCATAGTGAATACATGAGCAGTTATTTGATAAGTAGCTACCGGTAACATCAAGTACACAATACTAAAACTATAGATTCTGGGGGATAAACATTTACTAGTCAGTTAAACACATCTGAGCTGTGTAATGTCATTCATCAGACAGCTAAATCTGTTTTAGGTCATGTATTTCGGTCGATAGCCAGATTATTTATTTATTTATTTGAACACATAAATATTGGTACAGGGGGGCACCAAATATATATGCGCCACACAAAACAATGATAATTTGAAGAGGAGAAAAAAAAATAAAAAAAGTAATGAACGTGGGGAATTATAAAAAGAAAGAGGGAGAGAACAATGATGGGGAAAACGGAAAGGTACAATCAGAAGAAATCTTTCAGTTAAGGAAGATACAACCACTTTTTATGAAGAAAGTAAAAGAAGGTTACAGCAGGATCGCCACTGGCTTCTATTCTGAGCCATATCTGATAACGTCTCTAGCCACTGCGTTACACCATCTCTCGGACCCCAGCCAGGGAGTCGTGAAGGACCAACACAAGCCAGCCCTCTGCAGCTTCCTTTCATACCACGACACCATGTCATACACTGACCACCTCTCCGCTTTTTCCAACCAGTCCCAGAGTCGGCAAATAATGCACGACGAGGAATTCTCTGGGACGACATTCGTAGAACATGTCCAAGCCACCGAAGTCGGTGTTTCAAGATGGTGACACCAATTTCATTATCGTCTCTGTGCCCGAACACACGATGCCGGACCTCTGCATTACTGACATGGTGTTGCCACTGGATGCCAGCAATCCTTCGGAGACAACGATGATCGAACACAGAGAGTCGTCTAACATCCTCAACTCGGAGAGGCCAGGTTTCACAAGCATAGAGTAGAACTACTCTCACCGTCGCGTTGTAGATCCGAACTTTTACAGCCAGACTAACATCACGAAGGCGCCAAAGATGGCCCAGATTGGCATAAGCCGCTCTGGCTTTCACTATACGTGCATTGATCTCATCACTCACGCCACCACCAGCACTTATGCAGCCACCCAGATACACGAACTTCTCGACCACTTCTATCTGCTCACCGTCCAGAGTGAGTACAGGATTAGAATCCTGCCAGTCTTGTAGGAGTACTTTGCACTTCGAAGGTGCAAAGCACATACCATACCTACGGACATTGATTGTCAACTGATTAAGTGCGGATTGCATAGCTTGGGCATTCTCGCACAGTTTTTTATTTATTTATTTCGAGAGGGAGAGCGGACTCTCCCCACTCTCGGCCATACCAGGGCGTTTGGGGGCTCTCGCACAGTAAGACAATATCATCCGCATACTCAAGGTCGAGAAGTCTTTCTCCAGGCAACAGATCCATACCACGATTACTTACATCCATCAGAGCTGTTTTCAGAATGTCATCGATGGCAAAGTTGAAGAGGAATGGTGAGATTGGGCAACCCTGCCTAACCCCACTGCTTGAATGGAATAATGGAGAAAGGTGTTTGTATGCCCTCACTCTGCCAGATACGAAAGTTGTCGCTGATCCTAACAATGGGCTCTATGATTTACATTTTTTCGACAAAAATCCGTTTTATCCCCAACTGTAAAACCTTTGAAATATAAAAGGGATTGGACAACTGTTACGTGTTGGTGATCACCGAATTGTGACTGATCCTATAACATCCACTTATTAAAGTGAGCACATTACGTCTAAGTAATTAGAACAAATTGAAAATTTTCACATCAACTTTGATTAATTTGGGATACAACACGATCTACACATAGTATCAGCAACGAATCACTATTTCATTCTTTACTAGATTGACTGGCTACGGTTTACTACTATTGAATTGGCCTTCTGTTTTTTGGTGTGTTTACGCGATGTGGCTAATTGCATTGATATATGTTTTTGTTCTGATCCTGTTTCGTTTCCGACTGGCTGAACTCAGTACTGTAGGCAGACAAAGTCCAGAAGTAGCTAATGATCAAGAATTTCCATATTATTCTGGTAATTATAGAGTATTTGCGCTGAATCTGGCCGTTGGTCATTTATTAGTAGTAGTGATCGCTCAACCCACCCACAATCCCTGATATCTAAGGGAATGAACGCATTATTGCAAAACACATACGAATAAATACATTCAGTACTTTTTCGTTTCCTGACAGAATTCACCAGTCATTAGGACTGCTAAGATTAAAAACTGATAATGTAATGGGATTGTCTGTTTATCCTTAAGCATCTAGTCCATTCAAATATAATTCGACACAACAGATTTTAACAATGTGAAGCATATCTAAAACAGATCGATTATTATATGTTCCAAATCAAGTCATTTATTCTGTTCCTAAAATATACTCAATCACTGATTATTTAGTAGCGCTACCACAAATAAATAATGCTTTGAAAGAATTTATGCATCTAAAACTTTAGTATTTTCATATCTTTTGAAGCAGAAGCTTATGCGCGTAGAATCTAACCTGTTGTAAAATTCTAAGTCTTTGACAGAGAAGCTAGCAGCGCATCTGCACTAGGCTGTGTGATTATGTGAACATGAGTGACCGATAGAGGCAAGTGATTTGGAGATAGTCGGCAGGTTCAACTTTATGGCTCTCTACTGTCGAATCAATCATGAAGCTGGTGAAATTTATGGACCATCGTTTTGTATCCAGCAAGTAAACGTGTACCACATATTTTCAGGTCTTCCTTTAGGATTTTCTTCAGCATCTCCATTGGATAGTTTGTGTTCCGCGGGTTCATGGAAAAAGCCTCTTAATAAAAGACTGAATCCTACCAAGCGAAGGAAATATCACTCTTGAATCACATACATGAATTCAAAAGAATACAGAATTGATGAAGGTTGCTAGATGTAGTTAGTCTAAATAATAGCTTATCATAGACCCTGTCCGAGTAAATCACTCATCCTGTTTTCTTCTTCATTTTATTTTGGCACAGATATCCTCCAACAAGTGGCTTTATTAATAAGATTTCTCAAGTATTTTTATCTAGAAACTCTTTTATAGGTTTGAAGTACTTAAGTGATACATTCACGTCCTAAAGAGGCGCCGACATAACGGTTTCTGGACACTGGGTGATGATAATTAATTAAATACAATTTCCTCCTTTTAAATGTAAAATATTGTTCCAACCCTAACAGATTGGTGGACAACGGAATTCAGGCAAGCACATAAAGATCTAGATTAAGTTTAACAACAAACACCATTTATCGTTCACGTAAGACGACCATTTGCCTTTCAAAGGGGGATCATGCTGAACAGCAGTGCACTTCGCATTACTTTACAGTTGTAGAGGTATAAAGCATGTATAGCTTACTTGTGTTGAACAGCAAATGCCTTCAATGATACTCTGATACACTGTGATATGATGGGTTTAGATGTGAAGTACTAAGACAAGCTGATAATTTAGTTAGTAAAATCGCATGACTTTTCCAGTTGAGACATCTGCTATCTTTACAGATATGCGTTATCGTAAGTAACATGGCTTTACATCTAAAGGTTTAATACAACTTAACAAAGATATGGAATTAATTCATTCTATTGGTTAAGTAGTAGAGATGAAATCTTGATTGTGGGTGGTTTGAAACAGAACAGTAACTACAACATATTAGCAAAAGTACCTCAAAAATGGTCATGTCGGAACAGATACATTCATTTTCCTAAATCTTGACCGTATTATTACACCCGGAATTAAAACCTACTAACCACAGTTAACTGCTACGACTACGTTACTCCTTTTCAGTGTTCATAGAGCAAAGATTGTTATTTTCAATTGCTTATCTTTCTTTTTGCGAATTCCGTCTCATTATGCTGAGGTGAAATGTGGTAATGTAAACTGATGTATACACTTGCCATTTTCTACGTCGATTATATCTATTTGTTTAACGCTTTTCAATAAAAGGTGCTATCACAAGACCTCTCGATCAGCGCAATCGGACATAACTTTAGTCCGTTGATGTTCATTATGTCTTGAGACGACGATTGGTAGATACTTGATCGATACATTTCGAGCCAAACTTGAGATATATCTGATTTACTTAAGGTTTCCTATCCCTATTTTCTAATCAAATGTCAAATGAGCAGAGAAGCTTAAAAACCATGTTAGTGAAGCTGATAGTGATAGATGTCCTTTCTCATGAACTTAAGTTGTCAGCAATTGAAAGCATGGAATTATTATCATCTAACCAGCACGCTTAAGCAGTAGTCCAGTCATAATCTACAAGAGAAATAGAAGACTGTTATCCTAAACACTTCAAGTTCCTTGCGACTTTCTCGGCTTCTAAACTAGATATCAAAGGGTCAGTATCCGATTAACGTCGATAGTACGACACTGAAAATCAACTAATGGTCAGCTTAGCTAGTTTTAGGTATCCCATCAATTGTTCTAGTAATATGGTCTCGGAATAAGTCGCCAGTTCACCTTTCCGTTATATTCTCAAACCCCCATATATTTAAATATGCTTTTAAGTTAAGGCTGTTGCTATTATATCAGAAAGTAACCAACTAGAAGGCATTAGTGTATGACATCAAGCCGTCTTTATTTTGCTTCCCAATCCTTAGGCCAAAAATAGAGATGGGTAACATAAGTATTCTGAATCCCCCAGTTAGTGAATATTTAAGGCTTCATCCGAACTAAGTAATTCAAGAACGTTCACTGTGGCGGACTTGGAGAATCAAGACTTTGAATGCAAACGTATCCAAAGCGCCTCCAATGACGAGGAAGTGTCAAAAGAAATAAAGGTACATGAATTATCTAAGGATCGCCAACTCTGGTTGGTAACTCTGTAGCAGCTTTTCCTAACATGGGGCTTCGAACACCACTCCCAACCCTTATCCGGATTTAGATCGACATAAGTCCCAGAACGAGAAATTTCCGTCATGTAAGATGCTCAGTGATACTGCCAGATGAAGTTACTAAAATAATAAAATGGACCTAGAGAAGCTCCTACTAGTCGTGAATAAAAATTCAAGCTAATACTTAAGCCTAAGAGGAATACTGATATCAACACCCCACGTCTAAGAAAACTGGGATTTTCTTGTAGCCTAAAAATTAAGAACCAGTACAACCTGGAATTCTGTTTATACGTTAAAGGACGACCAATAAGCATTGCCAATCAGACCATTGAATAAACTAACAGCAGTGTTGTCAACAAACGCGGACATACCAGACACCCGCTTTACTTCCAGGTTATCGAACTGCCGCACAACGGCTATTGGTACTAGGTTCGGGCGATGCCAAGCCTCTACCCGTAAAAGCTAAGAATATACTGACACTTAGGCATAACGACCCATTGCAAACAACCACTTATATTTGATGAGGTTGAGGAAAATTGACAGGGTAATGAAACAGACGACACCTACATCACACGAAGAGCACCTAAGTGATTCTGGAAACAAACACGCTAGTTCCATTAAGACGATATTAAGCCACGTCGTTGAACTTGCTAAGATATTTCTCTGAAAACTTGATTTTAGTGAAGATGCCGGTCAAAAGTCTGGCCGATTATCATAGGAAAAATAAGCTCACACAGTCCCGTGTCTTTAGCCTTCTCTCGACTTGCGTTACGCTTGGTTCGATATTTGTCCATCACCCAAACCCGATTTGCACAGTAAGACGAAATTATCGAAACAAATCCTAGGTTATCAGTGGTAACCGCATTGGTGATAAAAGAAAGGAACAAGCATAGCAGATAGTTTGGGAAAGTATAGACTAATAAACAAGACTAATTTAGAATCAGAGGAAGACATAAACGCGCCCGGGCTACTGTGAATTATCTTTAGTTATGTCACCCAGTCTCTAACCACCGGTAACGATTACGCGGACCTAAGGAAGGTAGTCTGGACTCATCCAGATGTCACCTGAACAATCATGAAGAGAACATACACTCAGTGAGTCTTGAGCATAAAAAAATTCCCGCAAGACCTGTTACAAACAATAATTGCGAGTTGACATATCCGCACATACACTCCAGCATACGAGTCCGGGCTGGTGATAATGTACGACAAACCTCGAACTTAATGCGACCCAACGCAGTAAGGGCGTACAACGCATACCACGCGTAAGAGCAAGGACGAAGTATGGATACAAATTGATATGGCAGGACATCGCAACTTACTGCATTCAGACAATTACCACAACATAACCGGTTAACCTATAAGAGTATCAACACACACATAGAGAATCAAGAACAAAACATGTAGAGAACTAAGTTCAATTAAAAGTTTATTAAGTTAAATGAAATGAAATAAAATTAACCTCCACGGAGACGCAACACCAAGTGAAGAGTAGACTCTTTCTGGATATTGTAATCAGACAATGTACGACCATCTTCCAGCTGCTTCCCAGCAAAGATCAGACGCTGTTGATCGGGTGGAATTCCTTCTTTATCTTGGATTTTAGCCTTCACATTCTCAATAGTGTCACTCGGCTCGACTTCCAACGTGATCGTTTTACCAGTCAATGTCTTCACGAAAATCTGCATACCACCACGAAGACGCAACACCAAGTGAAGAGTAGACTCTTTCTGGATATTGTAATCAGACAATGTACGGCCATCTTCCAGCTGCTTACCAGCAAAGATCAGACGCTGTTGATCGGGTGGAATTCCTTCTTTATCTTGGATTTTAGCCTTCACATTCTCAATAGTGTCACTCGGCTCGACTTCCAACGTGATCGTTTTTCCAGTCAATGTCTTCACGAAAATCTGCATACCACCACGAAGACGCAACACCAAGTGAAGAGTAGACTCTTTCTGGATATTGTAATCAGACAATGTACGGCCATCTTCCAGCTGCTTCCCAGCAAAGATCAGACGCTGTTGATCGGGTGGAATTCCTTCTTTATCTTGGATTTTAGCCTTCACATTCTCAATAGTGTCACTCGGCTCGACTTCCAACGTGATCGTTTTTCCAGTCAATGTCTTCACGAAAATCTGCATACCACCACGAAGACGCAACACCAAGTGAAGAGTAGACTCTTTCTGGATATTGTAATCAGACAATGTACGGCCATCTTCCAGCTGCTTCCCAGCAAAGATCAGACGCTGTTGATCGGGTGGAATTCCTTCTTTATCTTGAATTTTAGCCTTCACATTCTCAATAGTGTCACTCGGCTCGACTTCCAACGTGATCGTTTTTACCAGTCAATGTCTTCACGAAAATCTGCATACCACCACGAAGACGCAACACCAAGTGAAGAGTAGACTCTTTCTGGATATTGTAATCAGACAATGTACGGCCATCTTCCAGCTGCTTCCCAGCAAAGATCAGACGCTGTTGATCGGGTGGAATTCCTTCTTTATCTTGGATTTTAGCCTTCACATTCTCAATAGTGTCACTCGGCTCGACTTCCAACGTGATCGTTTTACCAGTCAATGTCTTCACGAAAATCTGCATACCACCACGAAGACGCAACACCAAGTGAAGAGTAGACTCTTTCTGGATATTGTAATCAGACAATGTACGGCCATCTTCCAGCTGCTTCCCAGCAAAGATCAGACGCTGTTGATCGGGTGGAATTCCTTCTTTATCTTGGATTTTAGCCTTCACATTCTCAATAGTGTCACTCGGCTCGACTTCCAACGTGATCGTTTTTCCAGTCAATGTCTTCACGAAAATCTGCATACCACCACGAAGACGCAACACCAAGTGAAGAGTAGACTCTTTCTGGATATTGTAATCAGACAATGTACGGCCATCTTCCAGCTGCTTCCCAGCAAAGATCAGACGCTGTTGATCGGGTGGAATTCCTTCTTTATCTTGAATTTTAGCCTTCACATTCTCAATAGTGTCACTCGGCTCGACTTCCAACGTGATCGTTTTACCAGTCAATGTCTTCACGAAAATCTGCATACCACCACGAAGACGCAACACCAAGTGAAGAGTAGACTCTTTCTGGATATTGTAATCAGACAATGTACGACCATCTTCCAGCTGCTTCCCAGCAAAGATCAGACGCTGTTGATCGGGTGGAATTCCTTCTTTATCTTGAATTTTAGCCTTCACATTCTCAATAGTGTCACTCGGCTCGACTTCCAACGTGATCGTTTTACCAGTCAATGTCTTCACGAAAATCTGCATACCACCACGAAGACGCAACACCAAGTGAAGAGTAGACTCTTTCTGGATATTGTAATCAGACAATGTACGGCCATCTTCCAGCTGCTTCCCAGCAAAGATCAGACGCTGTTGATCGGGTGGAATTCCTTCTTTATCTTGGATTTTAGCCTTCACATTCTCAATAGTGTCACTCGGCTCGACTTCCAACGTGATCGTTTTACCAGTCAATGTCTTCACGAAAATCTGCATCACAGAGTTGAATGTATACTAAGGAACAAATATGGAAGCCTTTCGGTTTTGCTGGTTATATATACCTTACTGTAAATTAATGCTATGTTACTTTTGATTTAGGTTAGTAAAACAACATATCTATTGAAATTTTTATTAATTAATTAAGTCACATTGAAGTCCGATTTAATTTTCGAAAATCATTTTTACAAATTCTAAGCTATTCATTTTGCTGTGGATTGATGTTTTTAGCCAGCAACTTGTTATTCAAATATTACAATCTTCAAGTTAATGGATAATGACATTCCAGATATTAATGTAAAATAAAATTCACCATATCATTCATATGGGTCTTACGTCACGCTGTAGTGGTAAATAAATCCCCAAAATAAATAGCTCTGTAAGTTTTCGACATTGGGTGCTGACCACATTAGTTTTAAGGGACTCATCTAGTTGAAGGCGCTCGGGCATGCATCCGCACCAGATCACGTGTGGGAACGCCATGCTCAACATCTACTGCAATCGCTAGCCAGATTAGATTTGACGATCCTCGATATATTGATAGTTTATCAAATATATCTTCGAACCTCCTCGTTTGTGTCTTTTGATTTCACTTGGTGGGTACGATTCATATTAGGTGTTACTGGTTAAAGCATTGTCAAACTCCGAATACTTGTGTCATCTTCATTGGTGAGCCTGAAGTGATCTAGTACACCAGATTGCAAACTGTGAGTCTGTCCATTTTAGGGATTTTATATATCATTGTCTTAATTTTAATTTTATACACTGTGATATTTTTTCCCCGTGTTTTTGGATATATATTTTTTTCCCACTCATTCATTTTCGTACTTGATATATCACTATGACTGAAGAGATACCTAAGGTATTTAAGTTAAAGACTGTGTCCCCTTCTAGCCTGGTTTTGCTACTCAGAAGCCGACTTCTGCGAGTACGGCGTGAACGACACACGAGTACAGTTCCTCGCAGTAGTCAAGGCACTTCCGCACGAATTCAACAGGTACGTAACACCTAGTATGTTTACCAGTGATGGTTCTGAACCCTACGAAACACTTAAAAGATCCATCCTTAAGCGCCTAGATCTAACCGATCGACAAAGGTTAGACCAACTCCTTAACAACATCGACCTGCAACACGGTTTTGCCACAGACATGTTGCAAAGAATGATAGGTTATTGGCCAAAGAACCTTCGTTGATGGCCTGTTCAAATAACTTTTCTTATCAAAACGTCCTCAATAGGTGCAAGTTGTGCTGGTCTCGTTTCAAGACATGCCGTAGACGAGCTGGCTGCATCTGCCGACCGTATCCTCAAAATCGCTAAATTTTCCAATGCCGAGGTTTTTTTCAGTCAAAGAAAAGCCTCAAACGACCTAGAATGAGATAACAGAGTTATGTCATACACTTACGTGTTATCTCAAACATCGTAACGAACGTAAACGGTCACTCACCCCGCGAAGAAGCACATCGCGTAGGTGATCTGTCTCTTGACCTCGAGAGATGGATAATCCTGACTGGTGCTGGTATCATAACCAGTATGGAAAGTCCTCCAGTAATCGCAGAAAACCCTGTAGTTTTCCCAACTCAAAATCGATCGACACGGAAAACGATTCGAGAAACTTCCAAGTCGGCACGCGTTAACGGCAACCTCAGCCGGCGAACATAGCCGTCTGTTATACATCACAGATATGATGACGAGAGTTCGCTACCTCGTCGATACTGGCGCAGAGGTTAGCGTTCTCCTAGCGAATTCCAACGACTTGCTTCATGAATCGGTTTTAAATCTACAGGCGCAAACGGAAAGCCTATTGCTACGTATGACAAAAGGTACGTTTATCATAACGTGGGTTTACGCAAACCCATTCACTGGATCTTTGTTGTTGCGGATGTTTCTATGCCAATCATTGGTATGGACCTTCTACAGCACCACAACTTGATCATCGATACGCGCAAACGGAGGCTAGTAGGCGGAAATACTAATTTATCTGTTTGCGTAACTTTTTTTTCTGGTTGCAGGTTATCTCCAGTAACTATTAGGCACACTATAGACCCCTTCTATCAACCAATACTCGATAAGTATTCTGGCATTTACCAATCGCAACCGAAATTGCCGTGTGTAACCAGCAACGTTACACATCACATCACGACTACAGGACCACACGTATTTTCTAAAGCACGTCGACTGGCCCCAGAAAAGTTACTTACTTACTTACTTACTTACGCCTGTTACTCCTCGTGAAGGAGCATAGGCCGCTCACCAGCATTCTCCATCCAACCCTGTCCTGGGCAATCCTTTCAAGCTCTTTCCAGTTCTTATTCATCTTTTTCATATCTGCTTCTATTTCCCGACGTAATGTGTTCTTTGGCCTTCCTCTTTTCCGCTTCCCTTCAGGATTCCAAGTTAGCGCTTGTCTCGTAATGCAGTTTGATGATTTCCTCAATGTATGTCCTATCCATTTCCATCGTCTTTTCCTAATTTCCTCTTCAGCTGGAAGCTGGTTGGTTATCTCCCACAAAAGGCTGTTGCTGATGGTATCCGGCCAATGGATGTTGAGTATCATGCGTAGACAGCTATTAATAAATACCTGTACCTTCTTGATGGTGGTTGTTGTAGTTCTCCAAGTTTCAGCTCCGTACAGTAGAACTGCCTTGACGTTCGTATTAAAGATTCTGACTTTGATATTGGTTGAAAGTTGTTTTGAGTTCCATATCTTCTTCAGTTGAAGGAATGCCGCTCTAGCTTTGCCAATCCTCGCCTTGACGTCTGCATCTGAACCTCCTTGTTTATCGACGATGCTTCCCAGGTATGTGAAGGATTCCACGTCTTCCAGAGTTTCGCCATCAAGAGTGATTGGATTGCTGTTCTCCGTGTTGTGTTTGAGGACCTTGGTTTTCCCTTTGTGTATGTTGAGGCCTACTGATGCAGAGACTGCTGCTATGCTGGCTGTCTTTATCTGCATTTGTTCGTGTGTATGTGATAGGAGGGCTAGGTCATCTGCGAAGTCCAAGTCGTCTAATTGGTTCTGAGCTGTCCATCGTATGCCGTAGTTTCGCTCAGATGTCGAGGTCTTCATAATCCAGTCGACCACCAGAAGAAACAGGAAGGGAGAGAGTAGACAGCCTTGTCTTACTCCGGTCCTTACTTGGAATGCGTCTGTCAGCTGTCCTCCATGCACTACTTTGCACTGTAGTCCGTCGTATGAGTTCCGGATAATGTTGACAATCTTCTCAGGAACTCCGTAGTGTCGAAGAAGTTTCCATAACGTCCTCCTATCTACACTGTCAAATGCCTTCTCATAATCAATGAAGTTGATGTAGAGTGACGAGTTCCACTCAATTGATTGTTCGACGATGATCCGTAGTGTCGCAATCTGGTCTGTGCACGACCGGTCCTTACGGAATCCAGCTTGTTGATCTCGAAGTTGAGCGTCAACTGCGTCTTTCATCCTGTTCAGTAACACTCTGTTGAAGACTTTACCTGGTATTGACAGTAGTGTAATGCCTCTGTAGTTTTCACACTTGCTCAGATCTCCTTTCTTTGGAATCTTGATGAGGTGTCCTTCTTTCCAATCCATCGGCACTTGCTCCTCCTCCTGCTGCTTTCCCGCTCTTGATTTGTCTGATGGCCATTCTGATTTCTTCTGTCGTTGGTGGATTGACATCTATAGGAAGATCTGTGTGTGCTGCTTCGATGTCCGGTGGATTCATTGGAGCCGGCCTGTTCAGGAGTTCCTCGAAGTACTCTGCCCATCTGTTGCGCTGTTGTTGAATCTCAGTGATTGGTCTTCCTTCTTTGTCTTTGACTGGTCTCTCTGGTTTACTGTATTTCCCTGCAAGCTTCTTCGTCGTATCGTAAAGCTGTCTCATATTTCCTTCTCTTGCAGCTTTTTCCGCCGTCGTTGCTAGTTCTTCCACGTATTTTTGCTTATCAGCTCTAATGCTCTTCTTCACTTTCTTGTTTGCTTCTATGTACTCAGTTTGTGCTTGGACTTTCTCTGCTCTTGTTCGACTGTTGTTAATTGCTGTCTTCTTGTTCTTTCTTTCTTTGATCCTGTCCAGTGTTTCTGTAGAGATCCATTCCTTGTGATGATGCTTCTTGGGGCCCAGAACCTCTTGAAACGTTGAAGTTAATGTTTCTTTGATACCTTTCCAGCTATCCTCCATAGTAGTTTCTTCTTCCTTCAGTAGATCCTGTAAGGCTTGGAACCTGTTGTTGAGAGCTACCTTGAATTCATTGAGTTTGTCAGTATCTCGAAGGAAGGCTGTATTGAATCTTTGTGGTGCTGTTCGTTCAGTTCTTCTTTAGCTTCAATTTTAAATTGGCCACAACCAGGTGGTGATCTGAAGCTATATCCGCTTCTCTACTGGTTCTCACATCTTCCATTGTCCTTCGGAACTTTTTATTGATGCAAATGTGATCTATCTGGTTCTCTGTGATGTGGTCCGGTGAGATCCACGTAGCTTTGTGTATACGTTTGTGTGGAAATGTTGTACCGCCTATGACCAATTTATTGAATGCACACAGATTTGCAAATCTTTCCCCGTTTTCGTTTCTCTCTCCCAGTCCATGTAGTCCCATGATGTCTTCATATCCGGTGTTGTCCATTCCGACTTTGGCGTTTAGATCTCCCATCAGAATGGTGAGGTCCTTTCTTGGGCACTTCTCTATGATTGATTGCAGCCTCTCATAGAATTGATCCTTAACGTCGTCGTTGCTATCATTGGTGGGTGCATAACATTGGATAATGTTCATTGTGATCCCCTCCTTCTTTGTTTTGAATGATGCTTTGATGATTCTGGATCCGTGAGATTCCCATCCTACAAGTGCATTTCGTGCTACTTTGGATAGCATTAGAGCAACTCCCTGAGTGTGTGGAGCATTTTCCTCTTCGTGACCGGAGTATAGCAGCATCTCTCCCGTATTTAGCCTTTGTTGTCCAGCTCGGGTCCAATGGGTTTCGCTGATTCCGAGTACCGCAAAGTTGTATCTCCTCATTTCCGTTGTT